AATGTAAAGACTGATAATGTCATCAAGAGGACCTAGAAAAGTGTGTTTGGTGCATAAGTATGAATAAAGTCAAAGAAACAGCCTCCCCACACCATTTTGACCTTGACTGACATCACATGTTGATCTGTGTGCAAGGACGTATGACCTTGGAGGGATGACCTTGAGATTGGAGCCTTTATCCGGTAAGTGGCCTTGAAGTTCATTTTTGAAAAATGTCTTTGAAATATGTGCATGCCATATGACTTTGAACGTCGAGTGTGAACATGGATTTTGACCTTGAAATTAGGAGAGAGATTACATACACGGTAAAAGCAGGATTTGACATTGTCCTTTATGTGTAGTCATACGAGTTTGTCTACCAACTGATGAGCGGTCCTTCCTGTAAGCCCATCTCTTTCTCTCTCTCTGGCTCTCTATTATAAAAACAATTTAATTTTTTCACTAAGTCGCCTTCTGTTCGGGAGACATTTTGATTTTTTCTACATATCCGGGATGGACATCCGGTCCATCCCGGCCTCTAACCGGCGTGAATGGGGGTAGGTGGTATGTAAATCCATTTCAGTACCAGGGTGGACATCCGCACATCCGGTCCACCTCAGTGATATTTCTCTTTGAACACTTAGAAATCTTTTCACAACTCTCGTTAACACTGCTCCTAATATTCAATATAATGCTTGCACGTTCAATAACGGCGAACAATCACAACACAAACTGAGCTCCATCTCCAACAATGGCGTCCACGTACTTTTTTTGTGGACGGTCGTTATCGGCACGTCTGTCCACCGCCATGTCAGATATGAAACTCTGCTAGCCCATCAAGTTGATGAATGGATAGAAGTCGCAGCAGCAGTCAAAAAATTCAGCACGTCCGCCTCTAGGTAAATCTCGCAACAAGCTTTCAAATCATATAAAATGTGTAACATAACTTGGTATGTAGAATTATATTCAAATTGAGGGTAGAGTCATAATGTTGATTCTGGGTCCTACCCCCGCCAGAATTCGTATTGTTTCGACACCAGAAAAATCTTGAAAAGTTGAGAAAAATGTCTCCAGAGTGTGACACCGCAAGTGAGGTGGATCTGGAACATCGAGAATCGAGAAGTCCATGAAACATCGAAAGTAACTGATTTTTTCCGTCTTATATTTATTCACAGATATTTATACACACAGCATTCACATAATGGGCCCATCTCAATGTTTGATTACAGTAATACCCAATGAATCAACTAATGTATTCTGGTTCAATGTATGATTTGTAGTGAGCATAATTGACTATTCATATTGATATTTTGCTTCAGCTTATTTGGTATCAGCCATTCATCAACTTCTTGAGTCAGTTCTAATTGCAGATCCACACACCAGATTTTAACTTCTACTTCATCTTCTACTCTAAGAAAGTTGTTACAATGAAAATTAATGAGAGGATTTATACATCACATTTTTTCACTTCTAAAAATGAACGCTTCAATTTGTTTACAGTGTGATCACTTTCCTAAAATAATGAGGTAAAATTGAGAGTTTGGTTAATGAACCAGCGAAAAAAATCAGTATTCACCTAGAGTGTTGCTTTTGGAATTTGAGGATAATAATGTTGTATGATCATATGAATTTCTATATGTACATTATATCCAGCTCTCTCAATTTAATGTTCAACCGTGTCATATACTAGGTGTTTCCCGTAGGTTAGGCGGATAGGGAAACGGCCAGAGAACTGGAGGCCCTGTCCGGGAAGCCAATGTGGCCTTACGGACGGGGTTGCCGGACTCCTGGACAGTGGTAAAAGTAAGTAAGGTGAGGAGGACTAAAACCACCCAAAAGCCTTTGCAAAACATGTCACCGTGCCTCCCCAAGCTAAGGTGTAAGGATTCATGCCAGACATCTGAACGGCCGCAAGATGATATGCGGTCACGAACCAATCCCGAGGCTGGACATAAGTGCTCACCTAAATCTAAGGCGGTGGCTGGGGATGAACAGAAATATCCACCCTAATCTAGCGCTTGGAATGAGGCTGGATATAGCAGATCACCTCCAACAGCAAGGGCATTTCCTGCGGCGGGCACCAAAAGCTCCGCCTTGAATGATGGCAAGAAACCGGGTGCCTTTGCAGGAAAGCTCCTTCACTTGTGCACCTCCACGGAGGGAACCCCAAGAAGGTTGAAGAAGCCGCGCAACGACAGTAATATTGCTGCACCTTTCAAAACCTTCGCGGAGGCCACTGTGAGACACCTCAAGGTTGCCGAAGAGAGTGTGTGTTCGGCGAATTTTGGCCTACACCTGCCAATATAAAGGAGATGTCTCCTTGTGACCTGTTTACCTTCCTGGAAAGGACAGGATGGACGTAGAGCTAGAAGGACAACTCCTCTGGAGGATGTACAATGGGCTGTGAGTCTACACTTACCCTCCCTAGTATACAGATACCAGATGTTTCTAGCATGACTGTTCATCTTGAGAACATATAGATTTCTATCTGTACGGTATATCCGGCTCTCTCAATTTTCTTTTCGATCGTTTCATGAACTAGGTGTTTCCAGCATGTTCTCAAGATGATCAACTTCACATTAGATTGCGAGTTTTCAAATTATCAAAGCCCGTGTACATAGAATGTTATTTATCATCAATGAAAATAATTATTATTCTCTTCTACACACGACGTTCCTACCCAATCTCCAATTCATTTATTATTTGACTTTTTCAATCGGTTCTCACTCTCCGCCGATACCTTCCTCAAAGAACATATTTCTTTTCATACCAGATGGATATACGAAATAAATCGTCCGTCATGTCCAATGCCGAGCAAGGTGCCATTTATCAACGTACAAAGGTCAGGAGAAAAACTCCATTCTCCAATATTAATACCGTTATCCAATTTTATTGAAGCTATTGTACTCCCGCCAACATTATTCCCACATCACGTTCGATAAATTAATCAAAGCTCCCTGTATTTCTATTTCGGGGTTTTATTCCACGCTCCCGATCGAGAATCGTATTCCGAACATAATTTATATGGGAGCGGAAGTGACATTATGGGCAACATAGTCCGCAGGGTTTTCGGCTCGTGCAGGAGTTGATTTTGTCGTTGTTTAGTGACTGTAAAGCCCTAGTAATTGTTCCGGGATGCGACAAAGTTCTTGTGAGTGCAGGTTGGTTAGCGGTTTCGCCTGAGTTGGTTATTTATTCTGTAGACAGTAAATTTTGAAGGGGCTAGGATTGCACTGTCGAAATTTATATGCGAAGGAACAGACTATTCAACTTCATCAAAAGTTACTGACAAAACATCGAGTGGACTTATTGCTGTATTTAAATCAACATCTTCATCATTTTCTTCACTAGTGGACTCTGCGCGTTTAAGCATGACTGACCACGACAATGTCCACAAGCTTTAGAACATCTCAATCCAATTTTTTTAAATCCACATTTGCCGCCACAACGTTTTGTACAATTACAAAAGATTCTGTTAAGTAGATCATCAGGTGCTGGTGGTAATAAAGTTGTTATTGATTGTAATATATTATTTTTCAACTCCCAACCCCACTGTTCAGGATCAATTTCTTTTCCTAGCCGGGTTTGTATTTGAAAATAGAATCGATAAATATGCTGTTGAGCTGCTGAAGAAGTGGGTGGTAATAATTGAAATTTCACAGCTGTGCTTTGTCTTGTTAGTTTAGCAAAGCTGCAGTATCTGTAATTGTCAATTGAATTTTTTGATTTTGGATCACCGTACATTGATAGTAGAAAATGTATTCTAGCATTGACAAGGGCATCTCGAGCGCAATTTTCTTGTTGGAATATTTCTGCAGAATTATGTAAATCGAGTCTTTTTTCAAACATCTTCATGACTTTAATTTTTCCTTTCCCAAAAGGTGTTGAAGTTGTGTCACATCCGGTCATAGCATGTAAATGGAGAATATTTTTTGCAGTGTGGATACTTGTTGAGGCTCTCAGTCGAGTATATTTTTGTTTAAACATTGTTTTTTCCTGGTTTTTTAAAAAAAAATGGATGTAGGTTGATCAAGTATTTGTGTGCGTGCTATGAGAAGTACCAATAGATCTAATTGTAGTATTATTTATTGATTTTTCAATTGCTGTTTCAACTATCAAGACGTCAGCATCATCATGTGATTCTTGTAGAAATACCAACTTTTTCGAAATTCTCAATACGCATTTCAATTAATTTTCTTTTGTCAAATCGATCAGATAAAAAAATTCTCTTGACTCTTAGGAACTTCCATCGATTCATTGAAGTGCACTTCACAAGATGTAGAAACGGCTGCGGTTCGTCTTAGTTGTTACATCGCTTTGATATTTTTACTGGTATCGGAGTAACCATCAAAAATGACAATACTATTTTGACCGAGTAGAAGTTAGAAGTTTAAAGAAAACTTAAATACATTGATAAAAAGCAATAGAGTTGACGCTGATGCCTTATATGTATAGGTACGGTATACAATACCCTATCTGAGTGCATTCTACTCGCTTTCTAAGCGTTCTAGTTCGAAAACGGTTGACTTTACAGAAAAAACCAGCTAACATTTTTTGTAGACAATAGTATGAGGAATGATTTTTATAATGACCTCTATTGACCTCCGAGCCATAGGTCGCGAGATATTTGCAAAAAACTTATTTCCGTGACCTTTTGACCCTTATAACTTTTTTAGCCGGCACGATATCAATGTCGATTTTTCACATCTTCATAGAAACGCCATAATGAATGTGTATATCAGCTCAGTAGGGATTTTTCCGCAGATTGAGGTTTAAAAAACCTAAAATGACTGGATTACAAGTTTATGGCTGACTATCTCTCATTCCGAGATGAGACCCCTGATATTCCTGGTGTATACCTGGTGTACACCATAACATTTTGATCCCTGGGAGAGTCCAGAGATCGGAAGGCAATATTTGTAAACTAAACCTACCAAACTTCACTGTTCCTACAGATTCCTACTTTATCCGAGCTTCTTCATTTACCAAGAGCCTTAAGCAAATGCAGTGACGTCACTTACCTATGTACAATGTTGGCCAGAAGATCATTGTGCTTTAGTTTATAGTCAGTGGGAACTTTTTCATAATTAACGGTCAGAGTACCCGCTTCGATGCACCTCTCGTATTCTTCGGCTGGGTGGGCTCTGAACTCTCTGGAGAAGATGTCGAGGATTTTTTCACCGACCCAGCGGCCTTTCGTAAACGTCGTGAATGTGAAGTAGTACGGGTATACTTTCCTGAGACCTATAACAAAAATTAAAGGTTCATATAGTAATAGATGAAAATTAATTTGATTCAATTCCAGTTTACAGATGATATTCAGTTTGTGTTTCATAAGAATAAGGTCTTTGCGGGGGTTTTAGTAACTGACCAAAAGGAACTGTAAGCGTTTTCAAAGACTTATACAATTCTGATGAGAAAAATAAAAATCCAAACTTCATGAAATAACATAAAGAAAACTGCTTGTACATCCTAAACAGCTGAATCATACAGTTGTGGAAAACAAATATCGGAACATACGAATCCGTATGCATTTTGGACGGGGTTCGCGATAGCAGCGACCAGTTTGTTCTCGACGAAATATAAACAATTTGATATGAAAGAATCACATTGAGCTAAGTTGATCGAAACAATTATGTGACGAAATCATTTTCTTGAACTGGAAATTATTAAAATACTAGTTGTTGCTCGCGGCTTTGCCCGGGTAGAATTTGGTTTGTCATATTTAGTTTCGTGACAGTCCATTTTAAATAAACAGTAACAATATTTTTTCATTAACCCAAAACTTCAGGTTCCCAACTTCAAAAAAATATTTAAATCCCTATTTTTTCCCTTTGAGAGTTGAAATTCCTGATTCCCTTTCCTGACGCCTATTTTCGCTATACAAAGAACCTACCTGCATATTTCAAGACTCTAGGTTCAGTAGCTTCGGCTGTATGTTAACATAAGAGTGTCAGTCAATAAATAGGTACCAATTTTACAATATTGAATAGTGTCAGTAAAAAAACTGAAAGGATTAGAATGGAATACATTGGTAATCCTACTAATCCTACTCCTACTAATGTTATAAAGGCGTAAAGCTTGTGAGGATGGACGAATGTAATGTATGTATTTGAGTATTTTACTTTTTCGCGCCTGAGCAGCTCAACGGATTCAATTGTTTAAGTTGGTATATAGATATATCATGACCTGGAATAACACATAGGGTCGGTTCCAACGGTAATGCGGGTAAAGCCGGTGAACACCTAGTATTGAACCTAGAATCTTGAAATATGCAGGTAGGTTCCCGTAGGTTGGGCTACCTATCGGGCGCGTCCCTAGGTGGTGGATAGGGGAACGGCCAGAGGACGGGGGGTCCTGTCCGGGAAACCAATGTGGCCTTACGAACGAGGTCGCCGGACTCCTAGTCAGTTGCAGGAATAAGTAGGGTGAGGGGAACTAAAATTCCCCAAAAGCCTTTGCGAAACGTGTCACCGTGGACCAGCCTACCCAAGCTAGGATGTAAGGATTCGTGCCGATAGCTGAATGGCCGCATGCGGTTCCTTGGGGAACCAGGCGAAACCTCACTGTGATCAGCCTTCCTTTGTAATGCAGGCTCTGCAAGAGTTGACCATCTCTTCCCCTGCTACTTATGGAAACACACATGAATGAAATAATAAACACACACAACAAAAACCAATCCCAAGGCTGGACAGAAGTGCTCACCTCAATCTATGGTGGTGGCTGGGGACGAACAGAAATGTCCACCCCAATCTACCGCTTGGAAACAGGCTGGACATGGCAGATCACCTCATGTTATACAAAGGCCAAGGCGTGAGCTCATTTGCAGCGCCGAGTCCAAAAGGAGGAAGAGAGTGATAGAGGCAGGAGTGGCAGCAACTATAAGTACACTCTCCTCCACCCCCACTCCACTTCCAACAGCAAGGGCACTTCCTGCGGCGGGCGCCAAGAGCTCCGCCTTGAATAAAGGCAAGAAATCGGCTGCCCCTGCAGGAAAGCGCACTCACTTGAGCACCTCCACGGAGGGAACCCCAAGAAGGTTGAAGAAGCCGCGCAATGACAGTAATGTTGCTGCACATTCCAAAACCTTCGCGGAGGCCGCCGTGAGACACCTCAAGGTTGCCAAAGAGAGTGTGTGTTCGGCAAGTATTGGAACTCCGAATAACAAAGTCAACATCAACATAGCGAAACCAACAGGTAGGTTTCGATAGAGCGTTGCTAAGCGCTTTCTCATCTAAAACTTCCATGAAGTTGCAACCACAGGAATGAAAGATTTAACCATTCAAATATTTATAAAATTACCGTCGTTCGACCTTATATAAAGAAATCCCATAAATTTTAGGGTAAATTATTACTCAACAAATGGTCCATCACTACCAACAATACTGATTTAGGTGATATGTCCGAAAAACGTCTTCAAATATGTACTTCAAAAGGTAAGGAAAACGACTGAACGTCGGAAACTATCTTATCAAGTTAATCTTATCAGGCGCTATTGAAATCTCGGTTTCAAAACAACGAAGTGAAACAGAATGTATCTTCAAATTCTAGAGGTTCCAAACAGTGAATCAAGATATCGATAAGCAAAACTTCAATTTAGTTTGAAAATAAGAAATTGGAGCAGAGCAGCCAACATTGAGTAGAGTTCAGAAAAGAGTAAGCTCAGTGAGAGGGTTAGGGTTAGGTAAGTGGGTCTATTCGACCCTCCACCCGCAAGGGTTTATTGTGGCTCACACCTTCTAACACCTCACACAGCTTCTTAACGAAGCCGATTAGTTTGTATGGTGAGTGGTTTTTCAGGGCAGATGGTATCTGGTACGAGTATCTGCAGAGTAGGGAGGGTGAATGTAGATCCACAGCACTTAGGCCACATGTGACCTATTATAGATCCTCCCGAGAAGGTCATCGTCCATCCTCTCCTTCCCAGGAAGGTGAACAGGTCACTATAAGACATTTCCTTTATATTGGCAGGTGTAGGCCTAGACCAGTGGTTCTTAACCGGTGGTCCGCGTACCACTGGTGGTCCCTGGAAGCATCCCAAGCGGTCCGCGGAGCCATCCTAATAAATATGTTAGATGAGTCGATACGATACAATGCGACCCTCCGCTAAAATGTTGAAGAAGAGTTACTATTTTCTCAAGAACTTGAAACGACGTCGCAAGGTGCAGATGTTATGGAAGCAATGAGTCAATATATGGAGAAACATGGACATGGCTTGCGGGGTTTTGTACGGAAGGTGCTCCTGCTATGCTTGGTTCTTGCTCTGCTCTTGCAGCATTGATAAAAACCAAAAATCCGTTTGCAATTACGACGCACTGCGTTATTCATCTTCAAGTACTAGCTGTCAAGACGCTTCCAGAATGCTTTGCTTTGACGATGAAAATAGCTATAAAAGTAGTAAATTTCATTAAAAAGAATGCACTCAATACTTGTCTCTTCAAACAATTGTGTTCTGATATGAACTCTGAACATGAAACTTTGCTTTTCCACACGGAAGTGCGTTGGCTTTCCAAAGGAAACATGTTGTTGAGGTTGTACGAATTAAGAGAGGAAGTAAAAATATTTTAACTAACAAGGAAAACAAAGAGTTGTTTGATCAGTTCGGCGAATCCAAATTTCAAATACATTCATACAAAAAATGGTGAAAAAAAGGGTATTAGCTTTTCTTTATAAATACAATATATTAACCAACTGTCAATTTGGCATCTTTTCCTTTCTTGAACACGTCTTCACACATCTCAACAATGGTGAGGTCGTAGCTGCGGTATTCTGCGATTTCTCCAAAGCTTTTGATTGTGTAAATCATGAACTTCTTTTGCAAAAGTTGAACTACTATGGCTTGAGAGGAGTGTGAAATGACTGGTTTAGGTCTTATTCAAGTCCCAAAGATGTAAAACTAGGAGTGCCTCAGGGTTCTGTCCTGGGACCATTGTTGTTAATCAATTTCATAAATGACCTGTCTGAATTATTTTCTGAGTGTCACATTACCATGTTTGCGGATGTCACTGCAATTACTGTGGCCGACAAAAACGAAGTTGAGTTGTCAGACAAAATAAATAAAATAATAGATAAATTCAGTGCTTGGTGTCAACGTAACAAACTTATTCTGAATAAATCTAAATCTGTTTCAATGAAATCATTTATTAGGAAAAATTTCAGCAGTGACTCTTCCACAATAAATGGTATTCGATCTTCCAGCGAAGTCTTGTTTTTAGGAACGTCTTTAGACGAAAATTTGACCTGGAGCGGTCATATTCAGAAGGTCTGCAACANCCACCTGAGATATGGTTTTTCCTTCTGGGGATTTTGCAGTCGACAACTTTTTCATTCAGTGTTTGTTTTGCAATAGCGAGCGGTTAGATATTTATGCAAGGTACGTGAGTTATGGTTGCCATCGAGATATACAGGGTTTCTCATCCATTTGACGCGCTGTACATGACAATGCTATTATTATTAACGAATATGTCGCTTAGTGCCCTTCTGACAACAATCTTTGTTTTTTCTCTACGATAGAACCCCGTTGAACCGTCATGTTCCTTAAATTATGTATTTTGAGACACCCTGTACACTTTTAGGAATCACACGTTAAAACGATAGAGCCCCGTTAAACTGTCATGTTTTTCAATGACGCATCTTGGGACATACTGTACACATTGACGTCATGTTTTTTCTTTAATCCGATTTTCGTTCATTATTAATATTAAAGCGTTATTTTTGTAATTCCACCGCTCTCTTATCTATCAAATGAATCTACTCGATGCTCATTCCATCCTTCTATGCGTCGATCACGTCGCCCACGTCTCTTTCCCACTCGCTACCACGAAAAGTGGAGGAGTGGGGGGGGCGCAGTAGGGGCGCCTTGGATTGTGGCAGTGAAAGGGTGAGAATACCTGATATAATAGATAGTATAATAGATAGTATAATTTCATTGAAACTCTTCAGCTGAACTGTTTTCGTTTTAGTCGATTCATTTGTTCTGACTCAGTTTGCTTTTCAACTAGATATCGATGATCTTTGCAATCTATTCTTTTTTTTTAAATAGACAAAAACATTACGATTCAGTGTCGATCGCCTTCTTTACTATATTCGATATCTGACTACTAGATCCAATATTTTTAGAAGCCATTTTTTTAATTGTGATGCACTGTTAGAAACCTTTGGTGTATTCATGAATATTACTGGAGTTTTATCCCAACACCACAACGTTATTTTCAACATCTCGACACGTGTTTCAATCACACCAA